TTTTCTTTTGCTTTCGGTGTGTACCACGACTATGAACTTTTCACTCCAAAGAATTATAGTTCCGATTACTTAGGAGTATCTTGGCGAGTGAGTACCCGTATGCATGTTGACATCAGACTAGCTGAATTCATTACCAAGCCGACAGAGATTGTAAATTTTGTCGAGAACAAATTCCCAAAACAGCAAAGATGTAATGGATAACCTCGCAAAACTCACTTGAAAGTGTAGGAAGTTCGAGCAAATTTCGCGCAAACGCCGCTGAGGATGAATGACGTAATCATACATAAGACCTGTTGGGGTTACCGCTTGACTCTGTAACCCCGACCAGCCAGAGCTGAATTTGTCTCTTTTTCCACTGTTCCGCTTTGAGGTAACGATAATGTCAGTAACAGCTATAGTTGGACTGTGGTAATTTCATCCCAATGAAAAGAGCTAATCCTCTCGACAAATGTTGCTGGCAAGGTAATTCTCAGACAAAACAATTAACAAATTGACGTCAGTTTTTTATGACGATGATATGACGAAATTTATCATTAATAAGACGACAGACGCATAAAAAACTGACGTCAATTTGTTTTTTACAATAACAAGACCCCAAAATGGTCAAATGCCGGGAATAAATGAGGGGAAAAGACGCCATAAACTTGCCGTAAACAAATATAAGTGAATTCTATTCAAAATGACGCGAACATTTTCGATAGCTTTTAATTTCTCGCTTTTTGATTGGCTACTTAAAAAAGTCCATAAAATCTCATTGGTGAAAAAGTTGACAGTTTGACAGCTGAAAGCTGAACTTAAAAGCTTGCATAAATTAAAATTTTATTCGTATGTACTCTTATTGATGATAAAAAATGAGCCAATCAGCGCGCGAGAAATTAGAGAGTTTTTGTAAAACCCACACTTGACGGCTGCCGTACACACTGTCGGCCATGTTCCGGACGATGGGTCTTCCAATTTCAAAGTCCCGGCTGTGGATGCTCTAGTCAATCGAGTGCTTTTCAAGAATTGAGATGAGATTGTCAGTGACCCAACCAAAGTCCTTTGAACTGTAGCTGATAAACAGTCTGTTTATGAGATCCTCTTCG